AGGTGCTACTGCTGCTGCTGCAAATGCTGCTGCCGCCATTACTACTACTCTTGCTGCTGCTGCTGCTGCTGCTGTGGCTGTTGGGGCAACTGCATGCTATTAGTGCTGCTGCTGTTACTTTTGCTGCAAGTGCTGCTTCTTCTGCTGCTGCTATGCTGCTACGTCTATGGCATATCCGTTTTTGCCTCTTTTGTGTCTCCTCACTTCTGCTGCTGCTGCTGCTGCTGCTGCTGCTGCTGCAGGTGTTTAGGGAGATGCAAGCAGCAGCAATTCCTTACGCGGGGTTGCCAGCAGTGCTGAAGGCAGTGGGTAGCGGCATAGCCCAAGACGAAGATGAAGACTGCAGACGCAACGCTTGCTTCTGTCTCAGTGTTATCTATGAGGTCTGCTGCTGCTGCTGCTGCTGCTGCTGCTGTTGCTGCTGTTGCTGCTGCTGCTATTGTTGTTGTTGCGGGTGCCTGGCGGCAGAATTTCTTCGTGCGCTTTCTGTTGCTTTGCTTGCTGCGATAGTTGCTGCTGCTGCGTCAGCTAATCTTGCTGCCCGCCTGCTGCTGCTGCTGCTGTTGCTGCTGCAGTAGGGTGGTGTGAGTTGCTTCTTGTTTGGCTGCTTGTGGGGTGTTTAGGTGGCGGGATCGTCTCCTGAAGTCAACTCCAAAAGTTTGGAGTTTCTGCAACTCATGCATCCTATCTTCAGACCCCGTGATGTGAGGCACTGCTGCTGCTGCTGCTGCTGCTGCTGCTGCTGCTGCAGGCACTGCTTCCATTGCAGCAGCAGCTACTGCTGCTGATTCTGCTGCTGTTACCGGTGCTGCAGTTGCTGTTGTTGTTGTGTTGTTTTACGAAGCACAGCTGAGTGTGTGGGGTTTAGGGTCTAGGGTTTAGGGTTTAGGGTTTAGGGTTTAGGGTTTAGGGTTTGTGAATGCAGGATCTGAATAGGTCTGAGCAGAGCACAGTAGACAACGCCTGTTCTGCTGTTGCATCGATGCTGCTGCATGCACCAGCAGCGGGGCTGCCTCTAGCAGACATTGTTAGAGTGTTTGTCCAGCATTTACCTCTCGAGACAGACAAAGAAGAAAGTAAAACTGTTTTAAAGGCTCTGCTGCACCTTGCAGCAACACAACCCCAACTCGTGCTGCAGTACGCCCAGCAGTTTATGTTTGTAAGTCTCACATAGCTAGCTAGCTAGCTAGCTAGCTATTAATGTCGTTTAATCCTGTTATTGCTATTATTGTATATTATTATTAATGCTGTTTATTATTATTATTATTATAGTTATTGTTTATTATTATTGTTATTGCATATTATTACTGATGCTGTTTATTATTATTATTGTACATTATTATTAATGTTTATTATTATTATTAATTATTATTATTATTGCTATTATTATAATAATTATTAATACGACTAAAACAATAATACTAAACAAGAATGAGTATATAAATAAATTATTATTTGCTGCTGTGCTCAGGCCTGTGCATGCGAGGCTTCCTTCCCAGGAGCAGCAAGAAAGGTTGGGTTAGAGCTAACAGCAGCAGCGCAGCAGCTGCTGCAGCAAATGACGAGCTCTCAGCTGCCTCCTGGTACCCTTGAAGCTTTAGCAGAGAGACTGCAGACTAAACCCTACGCTTTAGCTTTCCTCAGACAAGCATCATCACAAAACTGAGGGTTTAGGGTTTAGGGTTTAGGGTTTAGGGTTTTGGGGTCAGTAGGAAGATCATAGAAAAGGCCCCTCGTGCTGCTGTTGTTGGGGGTTGTTGATTGTCTCTAAATTAAGACGGGATGGATAGCTGCACCCTAGGGTTTAGGGTTTAGGGTTTAGGGTTTTGCATGCAGCCCGCCCTTTTAAGGGCCTAAAAGGGCTCAGTTCAGCCCTTCGCATGCAATCCAGGAGACAGACATTTTCATGAGGCCAAACCAGCAACATAAATCTTCTTTCTTTTAATTCTTTATGCAATCATCCCTCCTACTCTAGCTGCAGCAACAGCTGTTGCTGCTGCTCTTGCTGCTGCTGCTCTTGCTGCTGCTGCTGCTGCTGCTGTCGTAGTGGCTGCGCCAAGAGGTCTGCTGCTGCTACGCCAATAGCTGCAAAAGGTGTAGCAGCAGTAACAGCAGCAGCAGCAGCAACAACAGCAGCAGCAGCAGCAGGTAGCCCTTCCTTTCGCCCTACTAAAGGCGACCCGCAAGCACTTCACGACATGCGCAGCTGCTGCTGCAGCTATGCATGCGCAGCCGTACCAGCAGCAGCAGCAACAACAGCAGAGCGATACAGCACCTGCCGTTCAGGTGTATGCACACCTCTAGATAAGAAGCAGCACTCTAGTGTCTACCGAAGGGCTGTCTCCTTTTGACTGTCTCCTTTTGACTGTCTCTCTTTTCCTTCTGTCTCCTCTGTTATCCTAGAGACGGAGTATATATATATATATATATATATATATGTTACAGATATATTATATATATATATCTTCTGTCTCTCGGGCCACCGAGACAGCCCCATGCATGCATGCAGATGGAGGGAGAAAGGTTTTATGTTATTGCTTTAATTAGAATTATGTCTATATATATTTATATTCATCTTATATATATAAATATATATATTTATATATTTATATTTATATAAACATACATATATAATTGTTTTATTTATATTTATTTAACTATTTTCTTCTCTATTTATATGCTTGTGTTTAATTACTCATATACTTCGTCTGTTCATACTTATATTTTTTTGTTTGTATTTATATAACTGCTATATATACATATATATATATATGTATATATATATATATACATATATATATATATGTATATAATATATTATATTATATATAATTTTATATTTGTCTGTATACATGCAAAAAGAAAAGATAGATAGGAATAGGTGTTGTTATTTCATAGATATATATAATTAAGAATATACATATATATATATGTATATATAAAAATATATATATACATATATATGTATATATAAAAATATATATATACATATATATGTATATATATAATATATATGTATATATATATGTATATATATAATATATATAATATATATGTATATATATATATAAGAAAAAGGAGACAGCCTATTGATTGCTGTTGTTTGTCTCGGAGACAGTCCATCAGTGCTGCTTCTCTATAATACACAGTCCTATACACGTAGATGCACAGATGATATATATATATATATATGCATGTATATATAAGTATATATATATATACATAAGTATATATATATATACACTTATATATACATATATATATGTATATATATACATACATAAGTATATACACATGTATATATATAATATATATATATATATTATATATTATATATATATTATATATTATATATGTCGATGCGAGTAAGAGAAGAGGAGCCACAGAGACAGCCGCCCACTGACTCAGCAAACGACCGCCAAAGCACCGAATTGTTGCTGCTGCTGCTGTTGCTGCTGCTGCTGTTGCTGCTGTTGCTGCTGCTGCTGTTGCTGCT